AGAGATACCAGGACCAAGCTCTAGAGTACCCCAATGTTTATAGCCCAGGAGATGAAGAAGAATATGCAACAAAGACTCAGTTGACTTCAGGAGGAACAACAGGTAAACATGATATCTGGAAATCCAAGTGAAAAGAATCTTTTGAGGAGGAGAGAGTCATCACTGCAACAAATACTGCTTGATAGGTCAAGGAAAATGAGGGCTGAGAAATGACCACCAATTAAGCAACATGGAGAAGATGAGTGACCTTGAAAATAAATCCTGATTAAGTGGTAGGGGTAGAAGCCTGATTAGATTGGATTCAAGGACAAATTGGTTGGTAAGTGGGATGTGGAAAACATTAGGTGTGCAGTGAAAGGTAATAAGTGTAAAGTAAAAGGTGTGAGATGTGAAGTGTGGCCTGGTACAATATTGACCCTAGACTTTGACAAATTCAACATACTTTTTCGTAAGATCAAGAATGAGGCAAGGATTCCAGCTTTCACCATTTCTATTCATTGTACTGAGGGTCCCAGCTAATGCAATAGGTAAGAAAACAAAAAGCATATAGACTGTAAAGAAAGTAAAGTCTTTATTTTAGATAGCATGAGTGTCTATGTAGAAACTCCTAAAGAATTTACCAAAAAAAGCTACTAGAACAAATAAACTTAACAAGGTCATAGGATACAAGGGCAACATAAATTATATTTCTATATAACTTAAAACCAAAATTGTAAACCAAAAATTTAAAATACCAATTACAGTAACATCAAAAAACTGATGTCACATTGGACTAGGTGTGCTCCCAATCCAATGACTGGTATGCTTACTTTTTAAAATTATTTTTTTGTTTTATTTTTAATTCACAAATAATAATTATATATAACATTAATATTTATGGGGTACAATGTGATGTTTTAATGCATGTTTTCATTGTGAAGTGATTAAATCACACTAATTAACAAATTCATTGCTACTCTTTTAGCAATTTTGAAATATACAATGCATGATTATTTACTATTGTCACCATTCTGTGCAATAGATCACTCAAACTTATTCCACCTGTCTAACTGAAATTTTGTACTCTTTGGTCAACATCTCACCTTTTCCTCTTCATCCCTCTCTTCCAGCTTCTGATAACCACCATTCTACTCTCTACTTCTATGAGTTTAGATTCCACATATAAGTGAGATCATGCAATATTTGTCTTTCTGTGCCTAGCTTATTTCGTTTAGCATAAGTCCTCCAGGTTCATCTATGTTGTCCAAAATACCAGGATTTCCTTCTTTTGTAAGGCTGAATTGTGTATGTACACACTACATTTTTTAATCCATTCATTCAATGATAGATACCTAGGTTGTTTCCATCTATTGTGAATAATGCTGCAATGAACATGGGAATGCAGCTATCTCTTCAGAATACTGATTTCAGTTCCTTTGGATATATACTCAGAAGTGAGGTTGGGATTGCTGGATCATATGGTAATTCTATTTTTAGTTTTCTGAGGAACCTCCATACCACTTCCCCTAATGACTGTATTAATTTACATTCCCACCAACAGTACACAAAAGTTCCCTTTTCCCCTCCACCCTTGCCAACACTTGTTACCTTTCAAAATGACTGGTGTACTCACACAAGTCAAGAACACCTATGGCCACCAGAAGCTGAAGGAAGCAAGGAGAGATTCTTCCCTAGAGGCTTCACAGGGATCATTCTTCCCTAGAATCCTGGGACACCATGATTTTGGACTTTCAGCCTCCAGAACTGTGAAAAAATAAATTTTTGTTGTTTAAACTGTGCAGTCTATGGTACGTTGTTGTGGCAGCCCTAGCAAACTAATACAGTAATTCAAAGGAGAAAGAACAATCTTTTCAACAACTGGTTCTGGAAAAATTGGATATCCATATGGGGAAAAAAAAAATGAACCTTGACCCTTACTTCCTACCATGAAAAAAAAAATTAACTCAAAATGGATCTTAGGGGGAAACAATAAAGCTAAACTATAAGACCTGGAGAAGGAAATTTTTAGAGAGATGAAAATGTTTGCTATGTTGATGGTGGTCATAGTTACATGATTGTATATATTTGTCAAAACTCATCAAACTGGTGGATTTTGCAGGTGCAGTGGCCAAGTGGTAAGGCATCAGTCTCGTAAACTGGTGGATTTTATTATATGTAAACTATGCCTCAATAAAGCTGATTTTTAAAAGAAAAATTAAAGATGTTCTCTTTCAAGGCTAACAAAAGCCAACCTGAAATAATTGGCCAAGAATGTTTATAGTTTGTGACTCACCTCAATGAGAGTGGAACAAGAGGAAAATTACAGTGAAACTATAACCCATTGAATCAGCTGAAGCTGTCATGAACCTCAGAAACTTTCCTTTCTGACTCGTTTTACTTGGTAACTGCCACTGCCTTCAACCAATAATAGTACTTAACCTGGGTTTACAAAAGGAAAATTATTAATAATTAAAATAATAATAAATTATTAATAATTAAAGTGAATGACTACTTGATTTTCATGATTCAAATTCTTTTTGAATGTCCACCCTCTAAACTCACTAATAGTATTATAAGTAATGACCAGTGAGAGTTTATTGTGTAAACTTTTCAGAAATTTTCCTGGACATACTTAAGCATATATATATAATATGTTGAACCTTATAAATTGCCATTCTCATAGGTTAGAAATTGCCAAATATTGGCAACTTCATATAGTTCAACCAATATATCGTCTCATTTATGCACATGCTACCATACTCTATATACACATACTCTTTATAATTCTCTATTTCTCTTAATAATATATAATGGCCATTTTTCCATATCAATACATACAGCTCTACATCACTTTCTAAATACCTGCATAATTTGCCATTGCATGGATGTACCACACTTTATTTAACCAATTCCCTTGTGATGGATATTTAACTTGTTTGTCTTTTGTTCTCTTGGTTAATATAGCTGAATAATCACAATGGCTGCTGTCTTCAAACATGAAAGCTTCAAGCTTCAATCTTCAGTCTACTGATATTTCTACTGAAACAACAGACACTTGGGTTTGTGGGTTGAGTTTCTGTGTCTCTGTTGTTGAAATTCTCAAAAATCCACACAACAATGAAAATACAGAAAAATCAACTATATTATCAAATTTGGATGTAGACTCAAGTTCATCCAAGTCTTTCCAATGTTAAAGATGCCATTGAGTTGTAATCTTTGTTATTCAAGTTAAAAATCCCTGCCACAGAGAATTATTATTGTTATTATTATTAGACTGTTCCTATTTACGGCTTTGCCTTTTATCAATCCTGTATTACTTCCCTGCATAAAAAACTCGCCCCATTCATGACAACATGAATTAATCTAGAAGACATTGTGCTAAGTGAAATAAGTCAGGCACGAATATGGCATGATCTCACTTATGTGTGGAATCTTAAAAAGTTGAACTCATATAAGCAAAGAGTAAAATGATGGTTATCAAAGGCTGGGGGTGTGAGGAGGGAGGTAATGGAGAGACGTTGATCAAAGAGTGCAAAGTTTCAGTTAGACAGGAAGAGTAAGTTTTGAGATCTATCGCACAGCAAAGTAACTACGTTCAATAATAATGTATTACATATTTTAAAATAACTAAGTAAATTTCAAATATCTCACCATAAAAAATGATAGGTAAGCAAGACAATGGATTCGTTAACTGGCTTGATTTAATCATTCCACATTGTATACCTATATCAAAACATCACATTGTACCCCATAAATGTATACACTTTTATCAATTAAAAAATATTAATTTTTAAAAGCGTTTTAAATAAAATCCTGCAGAATAAAATAAAACTTCCCTTGGCATTCAAAGTCCTTTGCCTCCAACCCCAATGTAACTTTCCGGCTTTGGTTCCCCTCTACCGTGAAAGTTCTATGCTGCCATTCCTTTTACTCAGGATATTCCCTCTGTTTGGAATGTCCTTCCATCTTAGCTCTCTGTGGGAAATCTGCCAAGGGTGACAGTACACCTGAGATGCCACTTCTCGATACTCCCTCTCCACCACCCCTTCAGCCCCCGCCAAAGGCAGTGTGATGTAGGGAAAGCACATGCTTTCATGGTATTTTTGTGTGTGATTTTTAAAAATACGATTATATGCAATGCAAAATGAGAAAGACAGGGTGGGAGACAGAGATTGGGAAAGATGATTTTAAAGCATTTTCTTGTGTGTAATGAGTGTGAATCCCATTTTGCCATTTTCCAAGTGTCCAGAAAAGATCCATTGATTTTCAATTACTTCCTAACACCGTGCTGAGATGGGCCCAGAGGGGTCGCTTTATCCGGGTTTATAAATACTAAATATAATGTGTCCATCTCTGGAGCCCAGCTCATCTTCCTTGAAGTCTCAGTACTGTACTGACAATATTATGACATGTCATGCAGTAAAGTTGGCCTTGTGTATATTTCTCTCCCCTGCGAGTTTATAAACAGGCGCCTTGAAGGGAGGGATTTGTTTTAATCGTGTTTGTGTCCTGCCTCAGCTCCAGCTTCCAGTTACTCAGTCAGTGAAAACTGTACAAAACAGATGTTCACAAAATTAGTGTGAAATGAATGCATAGGTGATGCATGAATGGAGTTGAACTTAAAGGGCGATTTCATTTGCAATATCTATGACAGCATCGTCTTTCTCCCCGACCAGCCGACGGGCTCTGTGCGAATCCACCGCTCCTGGTCCTCAGTTTGTCCCTACCACTTGCGCACAGTAAGCATGGGAATAATCTTTGTGTCCCCTAGAATGAGTACTTCAGCATCAAGAATAGAAGAAAGCAGAACAATGCAAGGGCAAACGGAAGCGAGCTGCTTTGGCGAGGCTGTGTACGGAGAAGTGCAGGGTCCGCCGGCCCTTGTTCGGGTGATAAAGTACAGGAATCCCTCAGGCGATCTCTGCGAAACGCGGGTGACGGCCGGCGCCGCCCTCTCCTCCGCGGCGGCAGGGGGCGCTGTGGACTAGCAGGGCCGTCGGGTCCGCGCGGCGCCGCTCTCTGGGCAGAGCGGGGAGGCGGCAGACGGATTTGCGGCAGGCCTGCTTCAGCCGCCTCTCCGGCCTGGTCTCCGTCGGCGTCTGACTGTTTGCTCAGTCGGGCGCCATGGGGAAGCGGGACAATCGGGTGGTGAGTACTCGGCGGGGAAAACAGTGGGGCGGCGTGGGGCTCGGCGGCAGGAGAGCGGGACCCCTCGTTCTTCCCGGCCCTGCCGGAGGGCCAGCGGCGTCCCTCGGACCTAGGGCCCAAAGACCCAGCACCCTCCACCGGTCCCAGATGCGCGTGCGCCACGCACGCAGTTGGCGCCTTCGGGTCCTCAGCTATCTCTCCCGCCCTCCTGGTTCCTCTTCCCCCATCCCTCCGCTCCCTGTGGCAGTGCTCCCTGGCTCCCTTCCCTCCAGCACCCGGGCCAGCAGTGCCCACTTCTTAGAGCCACAAGGGCTCAGGAGAAATCTGTCTACCCTGAAAATAACTCCAGAGTCTGAGGCCCATGGAGGAGGCGCCGGGGCTCACCCCTTCCTCGTGGACGTCCTCCCGGGGTCTGTTACCTTCTCCTCCTGCGCACCCAAGCGGAATGGAGGTGCTGAGGCCTCGACGCAGCCCCTGCTTCTGGGGCCCAGCAGCGCGCCCCGTTCTAGCAACAGGTGGGCTCTCGTTTGAGAGCCGGGCTTACAGCATTTGCCTTCCTGTGTCCAGTGCCCAGTACTGCCTGGCATCTAGTAGACCTTGCGGAGGAATGAATGGCGTGAAAATAGTTAGCTTTGGAGTCCGGCACAGACTGGAGTGTCAGTCTTGGTCCCTCGGAAGTTAGGTGACCTAGGACAAGTTACTTTTCTTCTCTGGGTCTCAGTTTCTTCCTTTATAAAAGGGAACTCGTATCATCCACAGCCATGCAGAATAGTTGGGATCACAAAAGGCAAGATGCATGAGCAATTGTTTGGCATGAAAATTATTACTCTAGTAAATGAGATTGAAAAGAGAAGGTACTTTTGATAGGTGAAGATGGGAGGAAAACATTCCACATCTCTGGGGGACAGTAGTGGGAGTGATTTGAAAAGCCCAGGTAATGAATCAGATTGTATGGACGATAACATAAGAGAATAGCAATAAGATTAGGTTGCAGCCTGACATTTCCTGGGCTTGTCTGTGACAGTGTTAACCACTGAACACCAAAATGAGAAAAATGCACTTAAAGCTAACATACTACATTTAATGAACTAGATTTTTTATTCAACAATTGAGGGTGTGCACGTGCATTAAAAGAGCCTTTTATGAAATGATGACATTTTCCATCTTAAAAATGTAGTTTTGTATAGTCTTTATAATCGAAAATGTCTTGGAACCACTGTGGTAGTGAATCTTGATTAGAAAGTTAAGGAAAGTTCCTTTCTCCTGGCTGTCAATAAGACCTTGTGGCATCTTGATTGTCATAGAGTTGAAATGGTGTTATGCAGGAGCATCCTTAGGTTTGGGGTGTTAGGGTGTTTGGCCTCTTTTAATGCCCTTGGGCCTTGAATGTTTAGAAATTGCCTGATTTGAGATGCAGTTTTTTACCAAGGCCTAAATTGTTCATTTTATTGCAAAAGAAAGTCTGGGTTTACATATCCCTTTAAAATATTTGAAAAACTTACCGAGTTAGCTTCATTTACTAGAGCATTGTGATAACTGCTTTCTGCTTACTACTTTTGTTATGCTATTATGGCACAAAGTGTTCTGGTAACATTTTGTTTGCACTTCAAAGATTGTGGGAGATTAAAAGGTAAAAGACACAATTTGTCTAATTCAGTCTCCTCATTGCATAGAGGAGAGGATGAGATTATTTAAACTGCAACCAAAACTTGGATTAGCTGACACTCAGTTCTGTACATAATTATTGATTTTTAAAGACCTAATTTTTTTAGAGCAATTTTAAGTTCACAGCAAAATTGAGAGGAAGGTACAGAGATAACCCATATACCTCCTGCCCCCCCACATGAATAGCCTCCCCATTATCAACATCCTCCACCAGTGTAGTACATTTGTTACAATTGATGAACCTACATTGACACATCATCACCTGACAAAAGCCATAATTTACATTAGAATTCACTCTTGGTATACATTTTTGGAACAGGTTTTGTGTTTAATTATGCGTACGTAATAGTTGTATATCTTTGTAGGGTGCATGTGATGTTTGGATACAAGCATACAACGTGAGTTAATCAAATTAGGGTAATTGGGGTATCCATCACTTCAAGCATTTATCATTTCTTTGTGTTAGGAACGTTCCAATTTCACTCCTTTAGTTATTTTAAAGTGTACTCTGCCTTATTGTTGATTATAGTCACTTTATTGTGCTATCAAATATTGTTCATTCTGTCTAACTAATTATATTGTTGCACCCCATTAACCATCATCTCCCCCCACCCTGGAACCCTTCCCAGCTTCTGGTAACCATCAGTTGTTTTTAATACATAGCTCCCACATGAGAGTGAGAATGTGAGATTTATCTTTCTGTGCTTGGCTTATTTCACTTAACATAATGTTCTCCAGTTCCATCCATGTTGTTGCAAGTGGCAGCATCCTATTCTTTTTTGTGGCTGTATAATATTCCATTGTGTATATGTACCACAGTTTCTTTATCCATTCATCCACTGATGGACACCTAGGTTGGTTCCAAATTTTGGCCATTGTGAATAGAACTGCAGTAAACATGGGGGTGTGGATATCTTTTCCATATACTGATTTCCCCTCGTTTGGATATATACCCAGCAGTGGGATTGCTGGGTCATATGGTAGTTCTATTTTCAGTTTTTTGAGGAACCTCCATACTGTTCTCTTTAGCAGGGGTCCCCAGCCTATGGTGAGTTGTATGATTATTTCATTATCTATTATATTGTAATAATAATAGAAATAAAGTGCACAATAAATGTAATGTGCTTGAATCATCCCAAACCCACCTTCCCCATCTGTGGAAAAATTGTCTTCCATGAAAATGGTCCCTGGTGCCAAAAAGGTTGGGGACTGCTGCTGTAGTGGTTGCACTACTTTACATTCCTACCAACAGTAAAGGAGCGTTCCCCTTTCTCCGCATCCTTACCAGCTTTTGTTATTGCCTGTCTTTTTTAATAAAAGCCATTTTAACTGAGGTGAGATGATATCTTATTGTAGTTCTGATTTGCATTTCTCTGATGACGAATAATGTTGAGCATTTCTTCATATATCTGTTGGCCATTTGTATGTCTTTTGAGAAATGTCTATTCAGATCCTTTGCCCACTATTTAAACAGATTGTTCGATTTTTTTCCCTTTTGACTTGTTGGAGTTCCTTATTTATATATTCTAGTTATAAGTCCCTTATCAGGTGGGTAGTTTGCAAATATCTTCTCCCATTCTGTGGGTTGTCTCTTCCCTTTGTTGATTGTTTCCTTTGCTGTGCAGAAGCTTTTTAGCTTGATGTGATCCCATTTGTCCAATATTGCTTTGGTTGCCTTTGCTTTGGGGGTATTACTCAAGAAATCATTGCACAGACTAATGTCGTAAAGCATTTCCCCAATGTTACCTTTGGCAGTTTTTCATAGTTTCAGGTCTTAGATTTAAGTCTTTAATTCATATTGATTTGATTTTTGTATATGGTGAGAGATAAGGGTCTAGCTTCATTCTTCTGCATATGGATATCCAGTTTTCCCAGCACTATTTACTGAAGAGACTGTCTTTTCCCCACTGTATGTTCTTGGTACGTTTGTCAAAGGTAAGTTCACTGTAGATGTGTGGATTTATTTCTGGGTTCTCTATTGAGAACAGTTTTTTTTTCATTTTTTTTTTACCTGAACAGTTTAATTCTCAGGATTTGTAAAAGGCTTTTAAGTTCATGATAGCCGTCCTTTGTGCCTGTTGTTTTCTGGAAGTTTCCTTCTTGTTCTTTTCTGTTACTTTGTACCCTCTAAAATAGATGTATCCTCTAGATAAAAATAGATAATCAACGTACCAAATGAAATTCAGCACATTGTGTCTTTAGCAGTTTTACTGCATTGCTCTTTTCGTACCTACCCACATATTTATCCCCTTGAGCTCAATTTGCCATCCTGAGTTTCAAAAACAAAATCATTTTCTGTTACCAAAACTCACGCAGCAATTTGGAGCCACAGACAATTCTATTTATTTATGAATATGAATGTTTGATTTACATGGTCATGGTATTTTAAATGATTAAGTCATAGTGAGATGTTTCAAGGAATTGCACAATTTCTATATTTTAATTAAATTTTAACCACACACCTAATGTTAGGAGCATTATTTTTCACACTGACGCATAAGTGAAAAGGCTTTTACCTTTGTAAAATAGCTACTTTTTTTGTTTTTGAAAACTTTCTGTTTTGCATTGTGTAAAAAAAAAAAGTATTGTTGCTTAATGATTAAGAGCAGACTTACAGGTATAATCCTAGCACTCTGGGAGGCCAAGGCGGGAGGATCGCTTGAGCTCAAGAGTTGGAGACCAGCCTGAGCAAGAGCAAGACCCCTGTCTCTACCTAAAAATAGAAAAATTAGCCACGTGTGGTGGTGCATGCCATAGTCTCAGTTACTCAGGAGGCTGAGGCAGGAGGATCACTTGAGCCAAAGGAGTTTGAGGGGGATTTTTTTGTTTTTGGGGTTTTTTTCTTTTCTTTCTTTTTTTGCCACATACTATAGCAGAAAGGAGTTTGAGCTTTTAGTGAGCTATGATGATGCCACTGCACTCTAGCCAGGGTGACAGAGCAAGACTCTGTCTCAAAAAAAAAAAAAAAAAAAGCAGATCAGCAAGTGTGCATGGAGCCTAGTACATAAGATGTACTTAACAAATATTGCCATTATAATTGAAATAAATCATAGAGATATATGGAGTATACTTAAGCAGATTGAGGATAGTGTTTATGATTAAAAGCTTAGAAGTAAGCCTTATTACTTCAGTGGTAGCTCATGTAATTGTGCCATAAATTGACCATAATTAGTGCTAGCTAATTATGTGAATACTTTATTATTTTTCCTTTCAAAAGTAAACATAAATAGGTTAGTATGTTCTTTGGGAAAGCAGTTTGACAGTAGACATTAAGACACAAAAACATTGCTGTTAAGATAGATGAAAATTTGAAGACTGTATAACATGATAAATGTTACGATTTTTTGAAAAAATTAGAATGGGCTGGGCAGAGAGGCTCATGCTGTAATCCCAGCACTTCAGGAGGCGGAGGCAAGAGGATGGCTTGAGCGCAAGAGTTAAGGGTGCAGTGAGCTGTGATCCCACCACTGCACTCCAGTCTGGGTGATAGAGTGAGACCCTGTCTCCAAAAAAAGAAAAATTGCCACTGTTATATTTGTGAACTTTTACATAAGGACAACTCAGCTCTCTGAGTTGGTGTAGCAGTACTGGGATTGTATTTTTCTCATTTTGTTTACCTTTTTCATTAATGTAATGTTTGTGCATACTTATTTTTGTTTGTTTTCTCTTATAAAGGTAATGTTATTTAAAATTTTTTCTCCAGTGTATGAATGATGAATGTGGATGTCTCACTTCATATTTTGGTGCACATGCATCCAGATTTTTAAATTTTTATAGTTATTTATTAAAATGGTTCTTTTTTTTTTGGCAACTTGCCTTTGCTTTGTAGTTGAGAAAAGATCTACCTCATTCATTTTAGTGGCTACTTAGTATTTCATTTTGGGAGTTATAACTTAAATATATTGAATGAATCCCAATTTGATGGCTATTTGGATGTTTTCAGTTTTTGCTATTTTAGTAATTTAGTCCTGAACATCCTTGTGTATATTTGCACTCTTTGGAAATAATTTTTACAAATTTAAACTTTTAAACTTTAAACTTTTAAACTACCATTAGATACTAATAAAATTATGACATGATTCCAAGGAAATCAGAAGGTGATACATATTCTTTAAAAAAAAAAAAAAAAGCCTGAGGCCAGTTAAATTTAACAGTTTATTTGAGCAAGAAAAAGGTTTGAGAACCAGGGGAAGGTGGTTCAGAATCCCCACCCACCCATTTACAAAGTGATGAGCTGCATTTATAACAGGAAAAACAGGAAATGATGTACAGAGATTACCTGATTGGTGCAGTTTCATGTTTGCCTGATGTGGGCATCATTTGGCAGCCTTCAGCTTGGAATTGGCTGAGGGTTCGGCTACTGTGATTGGCTGAGACTCACTTGCTTGGTTAAGAGGGTATACGCTTAGGTTACAGCTCACTCACATATCAAGCTACATTGCAGTTCACTATATATGATACATGGAGCTGCTTTGAGCCAAACGATTCAGTTTACAGTTTAACAATATGAATAATGCTCCTGTTTTACAGATGGTGAACTTAGCTTGTGTGTTATACTTACTTCCAATTTTTAAGATTGTCAATATTGTTAGTTGGGATAACAGTTCCTCTATTTCTTCTTTCATTGTTTGTCATACTTCCACACCAACTGATTGAAATGCTCAGCAAAGATGGTTGAATGAAATATTTGAAGGTTTAACAGTTTATTAAAAAATAGAACTATGTGCTTCTGTCTTTAACATTGTATTTGACATGCACATTTTGCCCTGATTCTATAAACATCCGTGACATTAGGGGCGCTAGCATTTGTTCCTGGTTGTAGAAAATTATATCAAAGGTTTGTCTTTTTCAATTCAAGTAATTAGGCTGTGTGCATTAAAAGGAAATAGTTCTAAGTATGTGTTGTTTATGCTTGTTTTATATTTGCTCTGCCAGAGAAATCTTGAAGTATATAACATTTATTTGTTGTGAAGTTGGGAAATGTTGGTCATTTTTACAGATTTTGTTAAATAAAATGCAACAAATACATTGTTTCCTTTTACTTCTTTTAGAATGTTACATATTAGGTGTAAGGCCTTAAAATCAACCTTGATAGTAGTTATTTTCAATCACAATTCTTTTTGTTTAAAAAGTAGAGAGTTTTATACATGCTCGTTGCCTTGAATTAAATTTGGGAAAACTGAATATGAGGATCAAGAGTGAGACTGAATTAAAGGCCAGATTTTACATCTGCAGCAAAGAGAATTTTAAGAAAACAGCACATGGGCCTGGCATGTTGGCTCAGGCCTGTAATCCCAGCACTTTGGGAGGCCAAGATGGGAGGTGGCTTGAGACCATGAGTTCAGGACTAGCCTAGGCAACATAGTGAGACCCTGTCTGTACAAAAAATTAAAAATAAAAATTAGCTGGGCATATCTGTAGTCCCATGCTACTCTGAAGGGTAGGGCAGATTGCTTGATCCCAGGAATTCAAGGTTGAACTGAGCTATGATTGTGCCACTGCACTCCATCCAGCCTTGGCAGCAGAGCAAGACCCTGTCTCTAAAAAAAAAAAAACTCGTTGCTAGACACTAGAATTAACAAAGAAGAGTTTTTATTTTATCTCAGTATGTTTTTGAAGAAATCTTTAAAATGTGTTTTTCTGCTATAATAATTTTAGATACAGAACATAATTTAATTTTTCATAGATTTTTTTATTGAGCTAAAGTATACATAACAAAATTTACCATTTTAACATGTATAGTTCAGTGGCATTAAGTATATTCATAGTGTTGTGCACACATCACCATTGTCCATTTAAGTCATCCCAAACAAGAGCCTCTGTACCCATTAAACAGTAAATCCCAATTTCCCAATTTCCCCAGTCCCTAGTAAGCTCTGTTCTAATTTCTCTATCTATGAATTTGCTTTTACTAGGTACCTTATTATACAGGTAGAATCATATATTTGTCCTCTTGTGTTTGGCTTATTTCACTTAGCATGTTTTTAAGCCTCCTCCAGGTTACAGTATGTTTCAGAATCTCATTCCTTTTTACGGCTGAATAATATTCCGTTGTACATATATATACCATATTTTGTTTATTCATCTGTAGATGGACATTTGCATTACTTCTACCTTTTGGCTGTTGTGAATAATGTTGCTGTGAACATTTGTGTACAAGTATCTGTTTGAATTCCTGTGTGCAGTTCTTTTGGGTGCATACGCAGAAGTGGAATTGCTGGATCATGTAGTAATTCTATGTTTAACTTTTTGAACAGCTGTTTTCCACAGCGGCCACACCATTTTACATTCCCACCAGCAATGTGCAAGGATTCTAATTTCTCCATATCCTCACCAACCCCTGTGATTTGGGTTTTTTTCTATAATAGCCATCCTAATGGGTATGAGATGGCATCTCTTCGTGATTTGGGTTTGTATTTCCCTAATGACCAGTGATGTTAAACATTTTTTCATGTGCTTATTGGCCATTTACTATATGCCTTCTTTGGAGAAATGTCTGTTCAAGTCCTTTGCACATTTTTGAGTTAGGTTATTTGAGTTTTTTTTGTTGTTGTCAAGTTGTAGAGCTCTTTATATGTTCTGGATATTAATCTCTTATCAGATATATGATTTGCAAATATTTTTCCCATTCTGTGAATTGTTTTTTTTTTTTTTTTTTT